CATGAAGCAAACATTCACATGTGAAGGGTCGTTCCACCTCACCCTCCGCCTCAGCTGCATCCTGAAGTGCCCCATCTTCCTCAGGAGGTAGCCATCCAGGTGGTGGAATGCAGACCGGATCAAAAAGTCTGCGCAAAGCAGACACATCAACTGAAATGAAATCACTAGCATATTCCGTGAAAACCAAGCCGAAATTGTCGCCCACCAATTGCAGAAGTGAGTGACCGTCATCAATCGCTTCAAGCGTCCGCATATCAGCTGCAAACTGTTTCGCCCATGGATTTGCCATCTCAACCAGGCCGCCACGGAGATCAAAGGCCTCTTCCGACTCACATCCCACTCGACCAAACAATGCCATGAGCACACATTTATGGCCCTGCACGTCACGTGCCAGTTGCTGGTACCATGACAGCCTCCGGATTTGCAGTTCCAACTCACATGGGCACAGCCCCATCCATCGCCATACAACTTTGGACTTGCACGAAACATATCTGATAGTACCGTCCTCCTGCTCCTGTTTGTCGCAAGCTTTCCATTGCATAAGTTTCCGACCATGTTGCAATATGAGCGAGTCCAGCTGCGCAAACTTGCCTTTTTCCGGCACCAGCACTTCCAATCCTGAGAGGAGAGTTGAATGAACAAGCGCTCTGGCATCGGGGAAACACTCGTAATGGTTGCCACTTGCACGCCAGTATTGCTCGGTCCTCGAGATTGTCATTTGTTTTGGAAACAAGATCTTACTGCCGCGAAAAGTCTATGATTTCTTGGTATGAACTATGTATCCAGCTTTCCTAGCCTGACAGGTTCTGAGACTGCTGTCCCAAAGACCGGGGTGTGGTCCTCGGACATGACGCATCTCAAAACATTGCTTGCTGGAGCTCGAAAGCGGACCTTGTTTTAGGCATGTCATGGCCATTTGATTTGAAAGCACAGGATATTCTCAACTTTCCAGGCCTTTTCTGAGACTTTGCTTATACGATGGTACTTGGGCTCAACGCAGGGACCCCGTACCCAAAAGAGTGAGCCCTACTTCGGAACATATCCGAAAATAAGGGGCCTAAATATCTAGCCAAGAAAACAACTGTTATCCTTATCTCAAAAAAGACACCAACAATTTTGTGAAAGCCGGGTTCCCAGCCCCCCTCGTATTTGTAACCATGTGGGGATATGGCGATATCCATGAGGCCCACTTACGTACCACGAACTCCCTGTAAAACGTTCTAGGACACCTTTAAAATTCTGACACCCATAACGGCACCCAGACCACAATCCAGGACAAAAGGGGTATCTATACAAGCCCGAGCCCTATATGAAATAAAAACCCTCTAGGCACCCCCCAGAAAGCTTCTTTAACCATTCGTAAGATTCCTTGAAAAGGTATGAGCCCCTTCAAACCTTCTACACCTCTGAAAGCCCATTATAAACATTGTAAACATGCACACTTTATAGAGCTGAATTACACCATAGGATATTGGCCACAGGCCGCAAGACTAAGACCAGGGTGAGTGTACCCTTAATATGCTTTCTATAAAACTCTACGAGCTCCCTAGAAGTCTTTTAAACCTTGTGTAAGCCTCCTACAAGGCTGATAAACCTTCGCTCAGCCTTTGACAAACCCTTCATAAGTCCCTTGTAAACCCGCCATAAACCTCATGCATGCCACAGGGCGCAGACCATAGGACCAAGCAGGGGTGGCAATCCTTTTTATCATTGACCATGGGTGGGAAGGGAGAAGAATGCTAAAGCACATATTCGCAGCTTCCATGCTTTGTGTATATTTATATGTATATATACATATACATATATAACATTCCTTATATAGCCTTATATACCCTTAAATATCCTATATCACTCTACAAGGCCTCCCCATAGCCCCCCCCCCATGAGTTATGCATTGACTGCAGATGCTTCAAGGCCTCGTCTTATCGAATCTGCCCGAAGCTGGTCCAAGGTACTAAGATGCGAGTTTGGGGGACTTTAGGGGTCAGATGTAGGGGCTTAATCTTTGAGTATGGGGTTTAGGGCTTCAGGTTTGGGGGTTCAGGTAGGTGAAGTTTAGGGGTGTGGGTTTGGGGTTCATGCACCCAAGGTTTGAGGCATGAAGCTGTGTAGGGTATGGTGCTCACAGTGTAACGGTTCAGGTTCTGGGGGCTTCAGGTTCAGGGCGTGTTTTTGGCTTGCGTTCAGGGCAATTTTTTGCTTGCGCTTTGGATGACTTTGCAGTGAAAAGCTCCTGGGTTGTTGTCTAAGATTAGGCCGTTGTGAAGGGCTGACCAGGGTGTGGGGTTTAAGGGCTTCTTCGGGTTCGGTCGCACACGTTGTCTTGGGGCTTACACAAGATTCAATCTTCTGGGAGAACTTGCGCCCATGAAGCGATTCCTTGTCAGTCTCCTTCTTGTGTAATGACATCAAGCAGCAGGACCCCACAGTGGACAGTCTGCTCATGGTACGGGACATCGGACTTGAGGAGGCTCGTGTTGGGTGTAGAGAAGAGGTTAGTGTGGGGATTGCAGGCCGCAGGATTCTGGGCTAGGGCCTATGAGCTTAGGCAGTCTACAGTTTTGGGGTTTGGGCTTTCTTCTCTGTAAGGTAGGGGGAAGGGGTTTTGCATTTCTTGCTGGCTTTTGTGGGCATGTCTCGTAGTATGGTTGAAGAGTCTGAGTATTTTGTTGCGGAGGGGAAGCAAGTGAACTGAACTCTTTTTTGCATAGTTTCCCTTCACTGCTGCGAGTGCTGTTGTTTTGTTTCTCTTGGACAAAGGTTTGGGTAGTATGACAAGCTGCCTTTGTCTCCTGGCAAAGACATTCAGCAACAGTCGGCAAGCATTGCAAGTCCTTACAGCTGGATGACAGCCCCTGACAGACTCAAAGGTGAGCCCCTGTAGTTTCAACATGTTCTCCTCCTCAGGAAAACAGCGCACAAAAAGACCTTACGTTTCACGCTCTGATTCGGTTCAACCCTTTTGCATGTTCTAACTACGGCATCCTCATAGAAGTGCATACAAGGTGTTGGCTGGTTAGGGTGGGGAGATGGGCGGCATTCTGAGGGGTGGGCGCTGTTTTGATGCGCAGATCCACCCACCAATGAATTCGCCTGACACAGCCTAGGGTATGGTAGCACCCAAAAAGAGATTGGGACTACTGCGCCAGGGCTTCAGGTAAGCATCAGGGATCTACCGCCAAACCCTAGACTAAGAATCCAAGCCTCAAACTCATCCTAGCCTCATCCATTACCTGAGGCTAACTTGCTTCACTTCAATCCCGGACACCCGACCCCAAACTCCGTAGCTGCTGAGTCCTTGTGCTTAAATAAAACCCCAGATCTCTGACACCCTGGAACCCTAAACGTAAACGCCTATGCCATGAACATGCATTATCTTAAAACTTGCAACCCTAGGCTTAACCCTAAACCCCTAAACCCTAAACCCTTAAACCCTAAAACACGAAACCCTAATCTAGGGACCTGCCTCTGCAGCTGCGGCTGGGAGCACCGGGAAATTGCACAGCGAGGCGCTCCTTCAGGGATCCCATTAGAGGGGATATGAGTTATAGCCTAAACTCCTTAAAGGGGGGTTTACATAGGGGATTATATAGGGGACGATTATAGGTGATATTAAGGAGGATACTACGAGTTTAGACTGTAGCTCATTTGGGGCTTATGTAGGGGTCCCTTTACAGTGGCTATAGGGGCTGTGTAATTAGGGGCTCTGTGCCGGGTATACGGGGGATATGCAGGGATATACCCGGGTTATATTGGGGCTATATAGGGATCACATAAGGAATGTAAAGGGGATGGACAGGGATTTCTGTGATACAGCGTTTAGGGGTTTCCATAGATTAGATCAGGCTCTCTCGGTCTTCAGTTGCTCCTTGTCGTTTCCCTCTTTGTGCTATAGTATCATGACTAATTACGATGTGAGTAGCAGCACTTGTAAAAGCGGTACGTACTTGGAGGATCAGGGGACTTAGCAAGTAGGTAGATACTGGGGAAAATCGAATGTAGTATGTGGTGGCTTACTAGGGCGTATAAGTATTCGTTCGTATAGGCATTTTGATTAAAAGCTCCCTTGACCCTCAAAGTGGTAATGGTAAAAACTCTAATATAAACCCTATGTAATCCCCATAATCCCTCATCTTTTTATTTTCCACTATCCCAATATTACCCCAATATATCCCCTACATAATTCCCTATAATCCCTATAGTTTCCATTTTCTTTGCCATTATCCCTATATAACCCTAATATACAACCCCAATGCCTGGAATTCCCGGAGGCGGGAACCGAGAACGTGGATTTCGAGAATACTTTTTTTTATATATGATGATGGCACTTGCACAATTTTTGGCGCGTGCCTTCCTTCAGTCAAAGTTGTACAGTTTCGAATTATTCAATATACTATAGTAGTTTCCATGTCCATCATGTCGGCAGCCTGAGGTCTTTGCAGCGGCGCAAAGGTTGGGCTGCGAAAAGCTGCCGAGCTTTGCCAAAGAGGACAGGGTGGGTTTAGGGTTTAGGGTTTCAAGTTCGAATATTGTTGGTACTGTTGAGCTTGTCCTAAAACCCTAAACCGTAGCTTCCATTTTCTTTTCCATTATTATCCTTATACAACCCCAATATANNCATTATCCCAATATACCCCCAATGTAACTGCGTGCCTTGCATGTGCCACGGAGGCTGGGAAGATCCGTCAAAATCTGTGTTACTGTAATACCCGGTCGGACTGTTGCTGCTATGGTGACTGAGCCGTGCCTGCTTTGTCTGCGGAGACTTCACTATAGATTGTTTGGCAGGACGCTTGCATCGACATCGCCTCCTCCAAGGATTCCAAGGACTCGCAGGCATGGCGCTTGCAAGTACATTCTTCGAGGTTTCAGTTAGGTTGCAGCCACAAGCTTTGGTCATAGGGATCTCATATCTTTCCCGTGGCTCCTGCTGACATAGGCCCAAGAAATAGAGTGGTTGGTCGAACGAAGTGTGGAAGGACATCCTTTCCATCCTCAGACAGTGTTGTGGCACAAGAAGTCCTGGCTTGCGCTACAGGCCTCAGATGCGACAGTGCCAGGAGATCCCGGCAGGCTCAATTGCGTGACGTGGCTTTTGGCGCAGCCTTATGCTTTGAAGGTCTACGATTCTGCTTCAACGTCTCCGGCCAGTGGTGCGTCTGAAGATGCTCTATTCTCTCGCAGCTTTGCAGCATCATCCGAGATGGAGAGGAGGAGCCACACATCAACCTAGAGTAAGCTTACTCCGTATATTTGGCCTGGTGTCCCAACTCGCAACCCAGCAAGAACACTCCTGGCTTTTTCAAGCTCTGGAGCAAGCACCTGACTCAGAGCCCCCAGCCTTGTCACCCCTGCAAGTTCCCTGCGCGAGTCGTTCGCGGTAGAGCGCAACCCAGAACAACTGCAACAGCCACGAAGCCACAAGCACGTTGTTATCAGCACGATGCTTACATCGAACCATGCGGCACGATGGCTGCCCAGGGATTTTGTCGAGGCCTTGAGCATGCTGAGAGAATAGTGTCTAGGGTTCGGATGAGGGCAACAATCAAACAAGGACAGACTCAAGGACAGTTTTAGTTGGGGTATGGTATGCGTGGGCCTCACCTTGGGTTTCTTGTGCCGCGACAAGGATGGCCTGTGGCCTAAGCCCTGAACCCCTCTGAAGCCTTAGCCGTGTGGCCTGGAGAGGCCTCGCAAATTGGGGGCGCCTGGACCCTCATAGCGCAGGGGCCCCGTTGAAGTTGTAGCTCAAATCATGCCCTTTTTTTGATAGGACTCTCGAAGATGTTATCAAATAGTACTTGATAAAGCAGACATCTCTAGGCTTGAGGTGCGGTGATTGTGAAGGCGTGCTTTTGCACAGACTTGCATGTTCTTTTAGAGTTTGCGCGTAAGGTTGTGAGGGTTGAGAATTCTGTTCCGTTTGCAGCTCACAAAGATTCGATGGAACACCATTTTCGAGCTGAATTCGATGCCAAGCGTGAGAATATCAACGTGACATCCAATCAATCACTAGGTGATAATGCAGGATGTGTGGGAGACGCGGTGCGTAAAGCTTACAATGGCCCCTAAGCTTAAATGCGAGAACCTTTAAACCCCCCAAGCAACAAGTCTCCGAAAAGTCTGATTTCAAATTCAGCTGTAGGTATGCCATCATGCTGCTAGTTTTCCTGTTCGAGCTGGCATCCTTCCTGGCACAGCCGTCTTGGTTGGTGCTTCCGGGCTAGAGCTAACCTTTGTGGGAGGGTCTAGTGGTCTAGCTTTTCGAAAAGTAATGCATGCAGAAATACAACACTACAATTCCTGCCTCCAACCCGTGCGTTTACAGCTGAAGGCAATCCACAAAACCCGTGTGTCTGGCTATGCTGAACTGTAGACCTCCGCCAAAAACAGTATTCATATCAATCCTAAAGACCACGGAGCATCTAACACCTGATTTCTCAAGATCAAAAAGTATCTCAGCCCCAAGGTTCTAAGAATATCAGCAGTCTAGACTGGAGGGTTTACTCCCCCAAGCCCGCCACTCCAAGAAAGCGGTGGTGCTTCTGGAGGTGGTGGTTGTGGTGGAGGAGCATAATTGTATGCTATCCTTGCAAATCCTCGTGCATGTTTGATGATGATGGTGGTGGTGGCGGTGATGATGATGATCCTCTTTTCAAGGCGGGCATATTAGCAACATGATGGTGTAGAAGTGTCCACTAGTAGCTTTCTGGTCCACACTCTGCCAGAGCCCGGGCTACTCCACGATCATGGCCCTGGACAAGGCTGGCAGCGACTCACTGCAGCACGGTGCCAAGAGCGGGTGTTTTAGGTTGGGCTTCAAGGGGCAGCCTGTGCCCGAATGAGGCCTGAATCGAGTTTACTGGGGCCCCATGTACCATTCAGATCTTGATTCTGACAAAGATGGTGTAGCAGAACCAAGCGTGGCTGTTGCGGTTGTTGACAGAGAGTTTGAATCGGAAGCGAGGATCGAAAGGATTCGTGAATCGGTGTGCATGCAGCTTTTCCCAGATCCACAACAAGACACCTCGGCTTTTGGTTGCAGACGTTACACGCTTACAATCTCAAGGCCTCATGGGGGGGTAAGGGTGCGGAGTAACCTCGCACTGTAACAGCGCGAGATTCCCTATCTTTTCATGTGGGCTTTGATCTTTTGATAGCTTGGTGGCTTGGCCTCTGTCCAGCTGAAGTAGAAGTCTTGTCTCCTGCTACGAGGGTCTGATATCCTTTCCAAAGCCAAAAAAACAAGGAAATTCCACCCTGGTTTCCTGATCCCAGCATTGCTTTTCTGTGGTGTCCGGGGTTGATACATCCCCTTAACCCCTAAACTCCTAAACCCTAAGTCCCCTAAACTCTAAACCCCTAAAAGCCTAAACCCTTAAAACAACCCTAAAACCTTAAAACCCTACAGCCTTAGCCATTAAAAACCTAAACCCCTAACCACTAAACCCCTAAACAAAAACCCCAAACCCCATGGATCAAGGCATGGTCCCTCGTGAATCTGACCCCCAGCCTCCATTTGAGCCATAATCTAAACTCCTTAAAGGGGATATATAGAGGATGAAGAAGGGATAATGGACAATAAAATCAAAGCTACTATTTAGGGTTTAGGATCCAAACTTCTTAAAGTTGGTTATATGAGGGGTTGCATAGGGCAGTACTGTCGGGGCTGTTAAGGGGGATACTAGGAGTTCAGACTAGCCCGTTTCATTTCCAATTTGTTTTCCACTCAATTGTCCATTCTAGGGGCTATAGCTCCTTATATGCACCCTATGCCCCTGCATTCCCCGACTTCTGAGGATCAACTTCGACGTAGATGTGCATGACATCGAGTGTCGGAATCTGCAAGTCATTGTTTATGCTTGGGCCCTTGTCTTCCATGGCCAAGGGGCTTGCTGCTTCGCTGTTTCTTAAACTTCCTAAAAGGGGTTATATAGTCAGTGTACAAGAGAGTATACAGGGGAGTATGATAGGGAAGTATTATAGGGTAGTATTATAGGAGTTATTAAAGGAGATACTAGAAGTTTAGACTATAGCTCACGTGCGCTGCCCTAGTACGAGAAGCATTCATGTCAGCAAGGACATCGCAGCAGCTATGCTGTCAATCACAACCCTGAGTGTTGGAGCAACTACGTGTGGGTACACTGAGGGCCTAGTTAGGATTTTTTATGATCCTGGGTTGTTCAGCAACGCGCAGGGTGAGAATCCAATGCCCATTGGAACGGAGACCTGCGCCGGACTTGACTCAGGCCCAAAATGGCAAAGAAAAAATCAGCCTGGGCCCCTGGTGATTTCAGAGCTTCTGAGAGTCTGCAGTTTCTGACTCGGGTGTCTCGAAATGGGATAGCCTTCGGTGATCATAAGTAATTCCAAGCCTCGTTAAAGAGGATGGCAGATCTAGGCCTTCGCTTCGCAGATTCATATAATATGGTCGGAAGAAGCAGGAAGCTACACAATCTAGGCTTGTGGTCACTTGCGATTCTGCATGGGAAGGTTTTCAAGTCATCCCACGTGTCAGCCCTATAGCAGGGATCCCACACTTCCTTATGATCCACTTCAGTTGTGGAGCACCACGGAAGTTTTCAGCTAAATGCTTGTGCGGTGTTCGAAAGTAGCCTTGGTTAGCCAGATGAGAATGCCATTTAACGCCCCACATGCACGACAATCCTGGGAACAGGTAGCACAAGAGGCAGCTAGTCAATGAGGAGCATACTATACCCTCTTTTGAGATTCATGTTGTGATTCTCTTTGTCTTTGTTTCGGGCAGCCTCAGCATCCTACCTTAAATTGCCCAAACCCTAAACTCAAGCTCCGACTCCAAAGCCCGCAAGCCAATGGAGCCTGAATCCAAAACCTCCTGAAACCTAAACCCCAAGTTTAAAAGTTCCAAAATCTTCAAGCTTCAAGATGCAGGTATGCTTAAGGTGGACCCCCCCACCCTGTAATAGTGATTACAAGGGACAATAAGGATTATATTAGGGTCCCCTTACATTCCTATTATACCACTATTTACAGGGTGGGGGTCCTCCCCAGGTATGCTAGGGGAGGACTTCTGGCTGCGCTCCATCGATGCCTCGGGCAAGCAGTTCGGGGTCTCTATCAAGCCCCAGGCTACACGGCAACCACGATCCTGGAGATCCTAGTTGGCTATAATTAGGGTACACAGTCGTAGGACTTCAGGTTCAAGTTGATATCAACTTTAGTCAACTGCATCTCCAAGTTCATGATTTGGGGTGTAGGGGTTGCGGCATTTAAGGGGTTAGGTGTTCAGGCTTTGAGGATTCGGGTTTCGGGTCTAGGAGGTTTCGGGGCATCGGGATTCAGGGTTGAGGCATTCAGCGGTTGGGTTCTTGGTTGGACATTTGCAGCGCGGGCCCCTCTTTTCGGCCCATCCATTTCGGGCATAGTTCTGCTCTTGTTTAGTGGGACGTCCTGAGGTCCTGAATGTCTGGGATTGTATGATGAAAGGGGCTCCAAACAAGGGCCGCACACACAAAAATCCAGATCCCTGTGCAACAAGGGAAGCGTCGGCGCCATGTTTTTTACACGAGAACTCAGCACCGTATCTACACATACACTAGGACTAGTTGCAGCTGCAGGCAACTAGCAGATTCACAAGAATTCGAGTCCGATCGGTTGCTTCCTTTGCGGCTCCCTTTTTTTGGTTGGAGGGTCCTACACTACTGTGGCAGCCCTACCCCTTGTGCAGGAGTGGCAGTGGCAAGAGGAAAATGATGAGGACGACCATGACAAAGTCATGCCCGCCCCTTAAGTCCATGATTTTTGACTTGGGCTTCTGTTCTACTGTTTGGAGATGTGGTGCTCCAGCTTCAGGGAGGGAGCATCCAGGGGATCTTGCAAAGTGCCACTGAATTGCAAACGCCCTCGCATACTTCTAGTGGGAAATCTATTGTTTTGAGGTATTTGGGTGGACCCTGTTGCGAAATTCCCATATGCTTCAGGTTGCAGATGCCCTGAAAGCTGCATAGCCTGCCTGCACGCACTGATGGGCAATCTGACCAGTCGCTGTATTTAGCTCAGGCAGAAAGTTCGAAAGGAGGATGGTGCCGAGG